TCCCAGCCGAGGAGGAGCGGGGCCGCCCCCGGGGAGCGCTGCCCACAGGTCGCTGCCGGCGGTCGGGGAGAGCGCGGGCTTGGGGTCCTGTCAGAGGAGGAGGAAGAGGGGAACGGGAAAGGTGGCCGGCGGGGGAAAGGAGGGCGCGGCGGCGGCAGCCATCGCGGAAGTCGTTTTGCGCCAAGGGTCACCGCACCCCCTGAAGTCCCCGTCCAGTCCCGCCACTGTTGCGGGAGGGGGGGGTTTAACGGCGGAGAGCCCGGCCCCCGCCGCCCCGAGGCTCTGTCAGAGGAAAACCAGAGGGGAAAGCACCGCGCACAGGCGAAGTTCCGGAAGAAGGGTGATGTGTAACAGGACGAGAGAGGAGCAGCCGAGCTATGGGGGGTTGGTTCCCGAAATGCTGTCAGGCTTACACACGCATTTTTTGGTGCCATTTGGCTACTGGTATTTTCTAAGTGCCCACGTCCAGTGGCCCAAATGGTAGACCCATTGAGATTAAAATGTATCCAAGGAAAGATGCCATCATATCCTAATGTAACCCAGTGCATACCTGATTTTTGATTACTTTAAAACAATCCCATCTTCATGAGATTTAGGACAAGTAAGTAGTTCAATTGAGAGCAATCTGGTTTTAGAACAAGGCAGTGTAAGACAAGCGGAAAGTTTTTCATAAATTATAGTAATTTGTGTTTATTTGAATGAAACTGCAATATGACAGTGGGGATGAAAAGCTAAAGCCTGAGAACTGACTAAACAGGATTAAAAGAAAACCATCCTTCCCGAGTTTCCTTTGGCCCAGGAGTTGTGTTCTTTCTGTGTCTACATGACAGCATTTTCTGTGTAAAAGTTTGATGACTGTAACCATTTTATGTTCTGTTATTTTCGGGGGGAATGGATTGACTGCCTGCCTCCCCTCCCCCCCTTAAGTTGAAGCAAAAGCATCAGGCACATCTCAGGTACAAAAGCAAAAATACAGTGTAAATTTAAACATACAGATGCACTTTTAAATATCTCTGGCTTCCTATTATCAAGAGTCACAGGCACAGGTGGTGTTGCTATGTTCTATCTACACTCATTTTTCAGCACTTCTATCGTTAGTCTGACCTACATATTAACGTTTTGAGCAAACTGAACTAACTTCTTGTGTGTTCAGGTTACTAGTGATAACTGTAAGACTCAACACCTGAAAGCATGATGGATTATTTGCTAGTAGGAAATTTACATCTAAATAATAACACTTAGAAGCATGTGACTTCCTCTGAGCCACCCCCTACTCTCCTGTGATACCGTGTTCAACATAGGCTTTAGAAGCTTTTAAGACTGGATTTCTGAAAGTTTATTATAATGTCTTTATGAATTTTTCTCCTCTATTAATACATGGCTATGTTAGTTTGTTTGCAAAAGGCTTTAATCACATGTGAAAAACAGGTGAAAAGTAGTATTGTGTATCCAAAGTAGTTTGTAAAATACACGTATATGTGACCTGTCTTCTCCTATAGTTGCAGGCCACATCCAGTTGGACAGCAGACCTACATTAACCACTACAGGTATAGTATATATTTTTCATAATGTGGTAGTTGGTTTCCACCAGTGGGAGCAGGAGCTATGATTTTATAGCCCATTGAGATGCTTAAGTGAAACGAATAAATATTTTGGCCATTTTTAAGTCATTAGTTCTGCACACTCCCAAGAGACACATGTTCCCTGTTGTTCCCACAATATTACCTTTATGTGCATTCTGTTACTGGAGATACTTACGTCTATATAGTTCAGCAAAGTTATAAATCTTGCATCTTCTCAGTTGTTAGCTATGCATACTGTTACTAACCTCAAAGAGAATGCTCAGCTTTGCATTAGCAACATTCCTGAAATAAACATCAGTGTATTTTTAGATTATGTAAAATTGTAACTACTGACTTGGAGACTCTGTTCAAAGAAATACAGCCAGCTAGTCGTAGAAAATCATGATGTCTGATTATGTCTATATAGATACAGATACACAGACAGATACAAAATACACATCTTGAACACCTAAAATTCAGGCCATTGGGAGTCAGAACTTTAAGAACAGCCTCCAAAAGCTGTGGGTGCAAACATACTGATGAATCTGTTTAACCGCATGCCTCCTTACTTGATGTGTGAATGAGCTTTTGGTTCATATTAACAGCTAAACTTTAAGGCTGGTTGCACAAGTTCAAATTGTTTCTTTTTAATGAATGATTTAGTGGCTAAATCACTGTTTGATCTCTCTAACAGATGGAAATCAGAACATCACAGAAGTAGATGCACTTGATACAAGGTAAAGTTCTGATGGCAATGACAGAGAGATGGCCCATGGCATTCAGGCAGTGCAGGGTTTTCTGGATTTTATTAAGAATATGTCTCGATTATTCAACTCGATTCCACCCACTTACAGAACACTTTTCTAGTTTTAGCTATATCAGATGTAGAGCCACCCTTAATCATGAAGGCATGCAGAAGGGACTCTTTAGGAGTGAACTCCTTTTATGTTAGACAATGTACAGAGACTGTGGCAAAAATACCATCACAATCTAAGGAACAGTTGGGCAGGTTAAGTGATAAGAGTGTAGCACAGGAATATATTCTTCTAGAAGGAAGGTAAAGGGACCACAGGATAGTGATTTCATTAGTTTATCCTATTCCACTTTAAACATCATCTAGACCTGGAAGAGGTAAACTACTTGCCTGATAAATTCCTTTGCCTTATGCACTCAGCGAATACAGCTGTGCAGAGGAAGAACTATATAGGGAATCATCTTTTAATGGTCATTCACAGGATCCAGGGACCTAACTGTCCAAAATCCCTACTAGTACTATGTCTAGCTGAATCTTAAGAAGATAAATTGCCAAAATCCAAAAAAACTCTGGTAGTGGTGAAATAGAATTCATAATTACAGAGCTGAAGTTTATCATCTTTGCATTTTATCATGTTAAGTGTTCAAACTGAGGGAAGTGTGATGAAGCACCCCGCTTAACTTTTCTTATTGGTTATCCAGCCAACATTGTAGAAACCCCCAGACTTTGAACAGTCATCCAGATTTCCTGTTCCCTGTTTGAATTCTTACGCAGATATTAGAAAAAGCTGTTTTATGAAGGGGCTGCTCATAGTCAAGTGGAGAAGCAGAAACAGTTTATGGATAGTTTTGGCCATTTTGTAGTGAAACAAAAGCATTTTGCTGATGAAACTGCCATCTTAAAATAACATCTGCAGGCAAATATTCTAAGCAACTTCTTCCACCAATTGCACCAAAACTGAACGTTTCATAGCAGGAAAAAAAGAGTAACATGCCAAAAATGACAGCTCTGACTAGAGCTAGTCCTAGGGCAGCATGACCTGGACTGTCATTCTGTGCACATATGACACCGGCCTTGTCTATTGCCAGAAGCATTTTAGTTTCTGTTTTCTACAGATAACTCTGTCTACAAAAGCAGTAAGATTATCTATTTTGTCTCTCGAAATACAGCCATGCTAACACTTGGAAACAACCTTCTGGGTCCATAGCATGCTGTCAGAGACTTCTATGTTGTGTTATGCTCATAAAACAAAATTGCTGAATGCTCCAAACATACAGGTGCTCCATACATTTGATGCCATGATAGTTTGAAGTCCTCTACTTAGAAGCTGGGTAGGTCATTTGTCTGTCCTTCAGAACAACACTGTCCTTTAGCTTTAGGATTTTGTGCTGGTTACAAAAATCTTAGATGAACCATTGTATTGTCACAGTTTTCATTATTTAGTGTAAATAATACAAATTTGTTTTGAAAGATACACTATGCGTAACACCTCATCACCAGCTTATAGTCTATTGCTTATGATGCAGCACCCAGTTTAGTTAGAAGAACCTGAAGCAAATCTCAGACAGCTACAATTCCAAGTATATATGCGCTATCTAGTTATGTTAAAACAGTATTTAGCTAAATACATAACATGGAGAATTGGAGCCAAGTCTAAAGTGCACTGTTACATGCCTTACTGTGTTACTAATGAGACAGCCTCCTGACAAGAGAAAATGAAAACACATTGTAGAGAAACTATTCAACCTACCTGATAGAGCCTAGTACACACCCAACACTTGTTTTTAGTGAATTACTTAACATTCCCAAGCTTTTCAAAAAGAGCCTAGTAATTTAGGCTCTTCCTAAAATACTGCACATTTTGAGATCTTGTCTTCTGAAATTAGATCCTCCAAGTCTCTAGTCAATTAAAACAAAAATCTCAGCTAGCAGGAATACAGGAAAAGAATTCAATTATCCATTAACTCATTTATGAAGAATGTTTTCCATCTCTGGCAACAGACGAACATTTGATCCTGCAATGCAATACAAAATGAACCATCAAAGAAGAGGAATTGCATTAATCTTCAATCATGAGCACTTCTTTTGGCATTTAAGGCTGACAGACAGACGTGGGACTCTTGCAGACAGAAACAATCTGAAACGCAGGTAAGAAACTTGGTTTCTCTACTGAAGCTTAAAAAGCTAAACTTCAAAAATCATGGTCAAGTAAGCAGTTTCCTGTACATTTTAAGTACAGAGCAAAAGATTTTGCAGACGTAAGCACCTATGCAACCTTGGCAAAAAAAAGCCATAATAAAAAAGCTTCAAGGCACATTCCTTTAAGTCACAGAAACTGCTGGCACAAGTTCTATGATTTCAGTGAGTCCAGAGTTCTCTTAGGACAAACTCCTTCAAGTAACTTTAGGTATTACACCTGCACTTGACACCGGTTTGAGTTCAAAATAAACTTTTGTAGTTTTTTTCATAAGTAATGCATAAACACAAATATTCATTCTCTCACAAGGAAAGAAACTGAGTTGGTAGAAACTGACATGTTATTTGAGCAAGATTTTTACTAATACTGATGTGTTTTAACAATAGTTTGACAGACCTTGGATTTGAAGTCAGACATTTTGATGATCTGAAAGCAGAAGATGTGCTGCAGAAAATTTATGAAGGTAGGAGTCTATATATTGGTAATGCCTAACTATTTGTAGCAGAATTTCCAGATTTATTTTCTTCTGTTCTCTCTGTTCATCTAACTTAAAATAATTTTTATGCACAAGGAAGTTGCTTGACCTTAAAAGGATTTAGGGGTTAGACTCCAGATTATTTTATTGCAGTGCAAATGAAGTTTCTGTGGAGAGAACTAATGAAGTTACTAAGAGCTGAAAGAAAGTACCTGCAACTGGGAGAAGTTAATAACATTCTTTTTACTTTTAATGGTGCTTACCTTCAGCCATGTTGAATCATTGCACCTTCAAATCTCTGCAGTATTACACTATCTGAAAACAGGCTTCATTTGAAAAAGGACTGATCAGAGATTAAATTATACAAATTACAGTGTTTTTTAAACCTGAATATCACTGTTCAGTCATCTAAACACCACTTGACTATTTCAGCCTCTAAGGATGACCACAGTAACGCTGACTGCTTTGTTTGTGTGTTCCTGAGTCACGGTGAGAATGATCATGTTTATGCATATGATGCTCAGATCAAAATTGAGGCAATCACAGACATGTTCAGAGGAGACAAATGCCAGAGTCTGGTAGGAAAACCGAAGATATTTATCATTCAGGTAAGGTGTCTGTTTCTGAATTCAGTGCAGTTAACACTAACCTATGTCTTTTTGTAATACAGAAGTCAGTTTTTCCAATACAGTCTTTTCACAAGGGCAAGTTTTCACAGCTTTAAAAAAATAAGGTATGGAAAACTGTTCTTTAAAGACATTTAAGACAAGGATTGTTTTCTTTTTAAAAAAAGCCTTTATGTACACAAGTGTTAATATTATTACTTCTTATTAAAGAAGTAATTTTATGAAGAGCAACCCAAATTAAGCCCATGTTAGATTGACTGTCAGTGTATATTTAATGGCAGAGAAGACAGTATTTTTATTTTTTTTTTTTGGCGAAAGTTGAATACAGCCTCAACTCAGTTCCTACTGTTCACACCTCACAGCCCTGTGCTTGGCTGTAGAAGGCAATCAAACCTTCCCTTCCCTCTTTCCTTCCAGAAGGTCTCTTTACTTGATAGAAGTTGTTTTTTGTCATGGGTTTTGGTGGGGTTTTTGGTTTGTTGGTGATGATGATTTTTTGTTTTGTTTCTTTTCTGTCCATGATGAATACTTGGTATCTCTTAGAGAATTTAAAGAATCAGTTTAAGGCTTCATTGTCTCAAAAATACTGTTTGTGCTAACCAGTCAAATAAAGCCCATATGTAACCTCTTGTTTCACTCCTTGGTTCACAGGGTAAGTTGGAAGGGACCTCAGGAAGTCTCTGGTCCAGCCTCCTCTTCAAAGCAGAGTCAATTATGGGGTCAAACCAGGTTACCCAGGGCTTTATCCCATCTTTATTCAGATTACAATTAGCAAACTCACAGGAGAACCTGGCCTTCAGCCGACTGTAACTGTAGTAGTTTACAGAGTAGTTCTGAGAATTACTTTTTTTTTTTTTTCCAAATGAAATCTTCCTTAGATACAAGTCCTCTGCACGTTGTTAATTCATCTTTTATTAGGACTCATTCAGCTTTGAATTCTTTTTTTTTAATCAGTTGCCAAAGATGGGGAAAATATTTACTATTTCAATTTTAAGTTATAAGTAATACTTGGAAACATAATATATACTTATCAAAAAGCTAATTAACTTAGTTCAGTTCATCAACTGAGTTCTTTTACTGCACTACTGGCATAGCATGTACCTTTGGAAATCAGAGGAAATGGCAAGAATGAAACTTCATCACTGTAAATGAAAGAAAATTTTCATGTTTCTTTAGTGATAGTTCTTAAGTAATGCTCCTTACCTACTTTGTATCTTTTAAACGTGTTGTTACCTTCTTAACCTTCATGTATAGCCTTTTTGAAACACTGACACAATACTGAGCTCACTTACTGGGTTCTCACAAAAGCACTCCCTCAACTAACACATTTGAGACTGAACTAAGCATGGAAGTTTAACAGCATACAGATTATAGCTGTGCTTCAGAGCATTTATTCAATGCTGCCTTGCCAACAGGCCTGAGGGAAGTGATTCTTCCTCTCTACTCAGCACTGGTACAGCTACATCTGTAGTACTGTGTCCAGTTCTGGGTTCACCAAGAAAAATACAGACTTAGTAGAGTGAGTCCTGCAAAGGGCCACAAAGATGAGTAAGGGACTGGAGCATCTTCATACGAGGAGAGAGGCTGAGAGAACTGAGACCGTTCAGCTTGGAGATGGCTCAGGGGAATCTTACCAATGCTGTAAACACCTGGTGGAAAGAGGGAGCCAGGCTCTTTTCAGTGCTGTCCAGTGACAGGACAAGAGGCAACTGGCACAAATTAAAAGATATTCCATCTCGACACAGGAAATTCCATCTCGACACAGGAAAACACTTTTTTACTGTGAGAGTGGTCAAACACTGGAAGAGGTCACTGGAGAGATTGTGAAGTCTCCATCTATGACAATACTTGAAGGCTGACTGGACAAAGTCCTGGACAGCCTGCTCTAGCTAGGGGTGTTGGGCTAGGTGATCTCAAGAGGTCCCTTCCAATCTCAGCGATTCTGTGATCATCTCAAAGCTTTTACTAGACTTTGTCAACAGTATTTTAACTGATAGAGAAGTAAGTGGGTCTGGAATTCAGACTCATGGTAATGTGGAACACCTAACTGAACAGAAGTCGCCTCTGATAGTGTCAGAAGTATAATATTAACATAGGTGAGCTTGGCAGTGGTGAAAGCATAACAATATTTCTCACCAACAGGCATGTCGAGGTGATAAACATGATGATCCGGTTATTGCTCAGGATTCAATAGACAGTAGCAATGAATCCATTGTCAATGAGACTGAAGTGGATGCAGCTGGTGTCTATACTCTGCCTGCTGGCGCAGACTTTATCATGTGCTACTCTGTGGCGCAAGGTAAGTTCTAATATTTTACAAGTCATGTCTGATACTTCACTCTGTCAGCTTGAACACTTTCTCATTTTGCAGTCAAATGGAAGAGTGCTGTTCCAGGTCATCTGTTTTACGTGTCTGATAAGTGACATCTTGTCTGGGAAAGAGCCTCACATGTTAAGGAAAAAGTGAAAGTAAACTGTCAAGGTTGCAGTTAATTTGCCAAGGAGAAACATTCTCATTAATCTTGCTCTGAGCTGTCTGCTGACAGCAAGCGTTCCCCTCTTCCAGGACTGTAGGATTCCGGTGGCTTATAAATTTCCCTGCACTATATGGCTGTCCTCTCCAGTCCTCCATGTATCTTGTCCTCAGTCCCATCCGCTCTCTTGTAATGTGCAGAAACAATCCTGTAAGCTACCGGTTCCTGAGCTGTGCTCCTCATGGCACTGTAAGTGATCTCAAAGCCATTTCCCATCTACAGTTTCCAGTGAAATAACGTAATTGGCAAAGTAAGATTTACACCCATTAGTAATGCCTTACGGATGCAGCTAGTGAGCAGTAACTCTCAGGAATATTTTTCAGGTGGCATCACTGCTTACATTGGGATATAATTTTATGTTCCTGTCCTACCAATAGGTTACTTTTCTCATCGTGAAACTGTAAATGGCTCCTGGTACATTCAAGATTTGTGTGAGACACTTGGAAAGCATGGCTCTTCCTTGGAGTTCACGGAGCTTCTTACTGTTGTTAACAGGAAAGTATCTCATCGCAAAGTGGATATATGCAGAGACATTAATGCTATAGGAAAAAAACAGATTCCTTGTTTTGCCTCAATGTTAACTAAAAAATTGTATTTTCACCCAAAATCTAAGTAAATTATTACTTAACAATGACAACCAGTAACTAGTACTCACTGCAGAAGTGAAAAATACACCATCTTAATTTAGGAGATTAATATTCTACAAGATTATTTGCAAAAACACTGACATCAAACGTTATCGTTTGTATACATAATCTTAACGCAATTTTAAAGTTAGTATTACAGCTCTGTTCATCTCAGGGAATTTCGGGAAAATTGACTGGTGCAAAACTACTAAGAGGTGCTCAGATTTTATTGAAACTGGTACAATGGGTTACTTTTTTTCTTAAAAGATTTTTGCTTGATTACTATCTAACCATGGCACATTTTACTATTTCCAAAATATTTCAAATGTTGCATTAGATTGGCTTGTTTTACTTCAAGAGCACAGTTTACAGGGAGTATGTTTGTAGGGCATCTTTTATCTGTGGACAGCAGGATCCACCTTCCAGTTTTTGAGGATTTATTGAGTTTTTTAGACATTTTAAAAATTTTCTCTCAACACTAAAAAGGAACTTAATTAGCATTAATATAGATAAAGGGCTTCTTTCTGCTTACATATCATTTATGTTTGGGGCACAATTACAGCTTGCTGGTGTTTTGCATTCTTGGGAGAAAAGCAAGCAGTAATGAAATGAGTCCACGTACAGCTTGCTGACTTTGGGTAGGCTCGCCTTGTACACATCTCTAAAGCTAAAGCAAATCATTTCAAGGTGCTAGACTCACAACTGCTGTACATCTCTAGGCAGCTCTGCAAAATACAAAATATGCAAACCTTCGTACTTCAGGCCTCGGTGCTGGATCAGCCTCTTCCTCTCCTCGGCCCTAGGGGAGATCAGCCATCATACTCTGTCATTGTGTACATAAAAGTGATAGTGCATTTGTCACCACAGGACATTTCACCATGGGACTGTTATTACTCCGGCAGAAGCAAACATTTATTTTTTACATTATTGATACATGTGCTGAAGGACAATGGAGAACTCAGACTGACAGAAGTGTCTTAATCCACCTTCCTGGGTATAAAATAATTGTTTTACTCCTGCTTTAGTTAAATCTTTCCATATACTATGTTCTGAATCACAGATACTAAGTCTTACTGTGGCTTACTTTTAAGCTTTGTATAATCATGTATGTTTGAATGTTTTGATAAATTCTTTCAATAAAATGCAACACAAACATAAATGATTTTATAGTAAATAAGTTTGATATATCTTACTTTTCCAGCAATATTTACTAAAAAAACTTACTTGAGATGTAAGTCTAACCTCCACCAGTGGTGTTATACCAGCAGAGTCAATGCATAGAGATAGGAAAAAGGAAACTAATTTCAGGAAAAAAAATTCTTAATTTGCAATGCAGAAGTTAATCTATGAGCTACTGTTGTGCTATAGTAAATGGTACTAAAAAGACAGCCCTTGTTCTATAAAACATGCCTGTCATTTTACTAGCAGGCAGAATGCCTCCATTTTACTAATGGGATTACACAAATACCTTGAATTGTGCTTCAGCAGCTCCTTCATAGGGTTAAAAAAAATCAAAACCAAACAAGTCAGGTGACCAAATAATTTTTATAGATATTTACTGCAACTTTCAAAACAATAGTGGTCAAAAATATCCAGTTCCTATAGAGTAACTAAATGTTTGTGTCAGCTTTGAAAGGGAAATTCTAATATATACAAAACCAAAGTCAGTCCTTGTCATTGATTTCCTGGATTGGAAGCCTCAGGTGCAGAGGTTGGCGCAGACGCCTCAGGGATTCTTCTGCCTGCCAGTGTAAGAAAGAATGAGAGTTCATCCTCCTGCAGCCCTCCTTTTTCTCCTCCTCTTTCACACACCCAGTAGTTTTCCTTTCTCAGGTCTTAATGGAGGACACCGAACATTTATAGGCCTGCTTAGGTCATTCAGCCAGTCTCCAGAGAGAAGCATGTGCCCTGCCCACCCACACCCCAAGGTATTATTTTCCTGACATTACAATTACAACATTCATACTCACAGGCTACTGAAAAAGCATCAAACTGTAGCCTGATGTCAAATGTGGCTCATGAAATGATAACCTGAACCATGGGTCCTGAACTAAAATTAGGGCTAATTTCAGTTTTCTTCTATGAGGCATTGAACACAGGGCTGGGTGAGATGGGATGGGGTAATGAGAACTGAGCAGTAAGAGATCTGCTACACTTTTTCATGAAGACCATAACGTTTCTCCTAGGCGTACAATATGACCTTTTCCATCCAGTCACCCATGTTCTGGAAATCTAAGACTTTTACCTAAGGAACAGGACTAAGATGTCAAATGCTAAACTCTGCAAGACAGTTGCCTTCCAATGAAGGGAGGAGACTGTGTTACCACAGCAGTGCAGCAAACACACTGTCTCCAAAAGCAGTGCAGCTGTTCTATGAAAATGGCCAAGAATGCAACATATTAGAGTATGCAAAAAATGGATGTGTAGGGCTGATAAACTGACTGACTTGTTTCAAATTAAATTCATGAAGATCTCTCATTCTGATGACTTACTGAAGTGGTTTATACATCAATGGAAAACATTGTATGGTTATCTGAACAGCTGAAACTGGCGGATAAGCAATACACTGTTTTGAATGTAAGTAGCAAACCATGAGATCAACTTTCTGTTAGCTGAGAGTTTACTGAAAAAGTCTTAAGCCAGATGCTACCACATTATTTAGGAACTGTATTTAAATACCTCTGCTAGGTCTTCTTTGAGCTTGTTATATCGTTCCACATTAAAATGCTGGGTTTTGGATTTCCGATAGAAGTAGTGGAGAAACTGCCTGTCTTTAACATCAGGATAAATGTAGTCCTGGTGAAGAAAGCAGGGCACATATTTGGGGTTAGCAAGAAAACTGGGTAGAGATCAGAAGACTATCTGTACAAATAAGTTTTCAATAGAAATTCAGCCTGTTTCAGGAAGATTTATCGAGTTCAACACACACATATGTTCTACTGAGGCTACATAAGAAGTTATGCTCTTATAAGGGCCTTTTAAACACATGGTAGGAAACTTCTATTGCATCTAAAGGAATTTGCAATTATAATAAAGACATAGTGTGATCTTCATGACTGGACCCGTCTGAGTCAATGGACACTACCTCCAAGGAGTCAGAGAAAGTTCAGCTACTATTTCTTCAAGACTTATTTAAAAGCCTCAAGCAATGGTGCCAGCAGCTGTTCCAAAAAGCCAAGTAGTAATCTCTACTCATATACAAAAAGTAAGGATGCCTTAGTCCTTCTTAAAAATCAGTGAGAAAGAATAAAACTTGCATTCAGAGACAGCTCTTCATAAAAACAGACACATCTCCCATTTTCACTATAGGAAGCTGACTTTTCGTGAGGTTTATAGACCCACTGGTATTGTGGAAGGAAGTGTTGGTTACTCTTCCATATACCTCCATAACAAAAGAGTTTTACATCACAGAAAGTTCAACATCAAGCTGTAAATTACAGAGCTAAAACAGGAAAAGGAAACATTTCTCAAAGTCTTACATGATCTCAGGACAACTGTATTGTGCAGCTCAGTTAAGATCTGTTTTTTAGTTGCTCAGCAAACTTTTTTTTCTTCTAAACAATGCCTGTTTCCTGCTCTATTTCAGCTGTCCTAGATTTACTTCCATTATTCAACATCAAGGAAAAGCAGTCAAGATTATGAGGAACAAAGCAATGTAATTTTTTCAGGCACTAAATAAAGTATATTTCAATAATGCAACTGCCAGAGTTCCAAATGCGTTGGTATCCTGCACCGTTTATACATAAACTCCAGCAAATGCAAGCTACCATTCAGTAAGGCAGTGTTCACAGACTGGCACAGCACTACTACCCTTTACAGCAATGAGCAAGGTGTTGTTTACTATTTGAAGTGATCTACAAAACTTTAAAATAAATGGGCAGACTTCTTTCATCACTTTTCATTGCCTAGGTTATGAAATCTTACAGACAGCAGTTATGCTCAGTAGCTGGTCTGCAGTTCATGTGTAACAGTACCTGACTTGATTCTGCATAATGTAACATTCTATCCAGCCCCATTAGGGATCAAACAAGTCCCTATCTGGTGGTAAAACTACTTATTGAATTATAATTTCCTCAGAGCCCAAACATTGTGATTTTCAGAGTCAGTTTTCCTCCTTTACAATACTCCAGACATTTACAAAACAAGAACTTACCTGTTTAGTAAGAACAAAGTAGGCATAGAAAGCCATGGCACTCCCGTAAGTGATGAAGTATGTGACCGGCTCCATGATGTCCCATGAATAGACCCACCACGTGAGCCACGCCAACGCTCCCCCTTGCGTTGACATCAAAGCTAAGCCAACCCACAGAAGCCTGGAGGTCTTTACACCTGCACTGTCCATGATTCTGGCTTTCATCTAAGGGAAAGAAACATAGAAACCTGTGCAAGCAAACATGAGTGCTTCTCTGACGAGCAGACCCTCAACTATGCTTTCTCTTGCTGGGCTAGATCCTTTTACTAGCTCCTCTTACCAATTTACCCTGCTGAGACAGAAAAGGACTGAAATCCAAGGACAACCATATCTCCTGGTTATTGTGCATCAAGAAATGCTGCTTTTAATCTCCCCACTACTAGGAATTTATGTCTACTGGATTTCCATTTACCATTCAAGGCAGCTCTGGTTAATGCTGAGGCTGGTCCTCACAAAGCAGGTCTCAAGCCAAGGAAAAGTCTGTACAATTTGTCAGGCTTTCTGGTGTCCTCCTCTCATGCTGGGTTTGCTTAGCCTGCCCTAGATCAACATTCATACCTTGCCTTCTTGGATTCTGGCAACCATTAATCCAAACAATTTGCCTTGCTGCCTTGGTGAAACAGAAAACCCTAACCTAAGCCACAGATGATTTCTACCTCACTTGTTTTTTCTGTAATGGGTATTCAGAACTCATACAGCAACAGGTGACTAAGTGGACTTTCAATTCCAATACTAGCCACGCTGAGGCTTGTTCATGACAGCTTTCTCCAGGTGTTGTGGTTTTTATCCAGGGAATGTGCATAGCGGGAGGGACAACAACTAAATTGAAAATAATTTGAATTGTATTTGAAGTTACCCTCTTTTACATAACAAACAAAACAGACACACCCTAGACATTCATGATGTTTTTATTCTATCACAGGACTTACTCTGGATGAAAGGAAATGCTTCTGATTTTTAAAAAAGTAACCCCACTTTCCAACCTGTTCAAGAGGCAGCAGCTCTTCTTTCAGATGGTCCAGTTTCTGTAGCAATTCTCTCTCTTTCCGGATTTGGTGATCTTCTAAATGTAAAGCCACAAACAGTCTGTGAACCAAGGATTTGATATCTTCCATTTCAGTAGCATGCTCACTACTCAGTTTATCTGAAAAGAAAACGTTTGTCATAAATATTTCAAGCATCCACCCTTCTTCATTCTCTTCCCACCTCCAACCCCAAAAAGCAGGACCATCCAATGGTAAAAAAAAAACAGAGAAATTCCTTTCACCAGACAGCTTCCAGTTTTCTGAAACTTCCCAAGCCTTCCACTAGATGAAGTGAGATAGTAAAAGTTATTAAGCATTGCTCTTACCTTTTACAGGAGGTGACACACTGTATGCTGTGTTGTTGATAACAAGTTTAAAGTCATTCATCAGTAAAACCTCCATCAAGGTTGCATCAGAGACCTTGTTACCATCTGTAGAAGACATTTAAGTTCTAAATAATTTATCATAGGGAACCTTAAACATTAACTTATATCCCTTTGGAAAAGTGCTAGAGTTCTTTATTAATAATGGTTGGAAGGGAACTATACTTTTAATAAATCTGGTAACTGATACTAAACAGTAAGGAGGAACACATCAACACAGAGTGCGTGCCTGAATGCTTTCTCTAGAAAGAGAGTCTCGTTCAGACTTGTCACTGCTGTGAGCAGACCTGCATTTTCTTGCATTATGATTACAACTAGAATCAACCCATTGGGAAGGGCAGGACAGAAGAAAAAAGTTCTGCATAAAACAGCAACAAATCGTAACATAAAGATCTGCATTTTTGTTTCTCCATTCACAAACGTTTGTATCTTCACTAGGACAAATTGGGAAATTAAAAGACCTTCAAAGACCTCATCTTGAGTTAGATATTTATGTCTTTCCTTAAACAGTCTCTTCTAGTCAAAAAGAGCAATTCTTGTCAGTAGTGGTGTTCAGATTTTTATAAATGGTTCTTGAAATCACTCTGTTTTGCTATCAGTTGTGACTGGGAGTTAAGAAGTAGATAGCTAGACTGTCTAGTACAAGACAGACCAGGAGCCACAGAGGCATTAGTCTAAAAAAGGTCTGGAGAACTCTTTCCTACTTCTCTGTGTGAAAATTTATATGAATGCTACCTCATCAGCAACACAGAGAACAGACTAAGAAAAGAAAAAAAAAAAAAAAGAAACAAAAAAAAAAGAAACTCAAATCTACGTGAGTTTTCAATTACTTAAAATCAGAGAC